AATTGGTTGTTATTTTATCTGTCAACTATGTTATCATAACTTTTATGTTAGAAATGTTAATCCCTAGTCCATAGCGCCGACTTATGAATTACAATTTCTTCATCAGTAGGGTGAGTTCACTTTCATTGGAACCCCAAAATAAGTGTGTCGTTCGCATAACGCAAGTTATTAAGTTTTCTAACTCCAACTTCTAACTCAAGTACAAGTCTCATAATACCTTACGTATAGGTATAAACAAACAATATTGGCGAAAGAATGCCTAATGCCAGTTTTAGCTTTGCACATATTAAATGTTATTTGGTTCACTCTGACTTTCGCTTCATTGTTATCATGAAGGCTTTTTATCATGTTGATCAAGTGATTTGGTACATCAAGCTCCCCTAAAACCTACCATAACTGATTCTACTTAACGAAATCGCTTGCTTTAGTGTGGTCTAGAAAACAAAGGTAGACTGGGATGTTAATTTCTCTTGCCTCTTCTATTATTTGCCTGACGTTCAGAATTTGCTCTCTTGTGCCTATTTTGGGGACAAATCCATTTTGCTCTTCCGCTATTTTGGGTAGTAAAAATGATTGCCTATCAAATGTGAATTGTATATAGTGGTGATATAGTAATATTTTATTTTGAAATAAAACTTTTTTATTTTAAAGAAATTCAGTGTATATCTAGATATATTAACGTTACTTGAAATTACAATACAATTTTGTTATCGGTCTTGATCAAGTTATAACAACGAAACAAACTTAAAGTAATTAACCTGATTTCTCTAAAATTTTTTTAACCAAAATTTTTAAAAACTTACTCCAACTTAGTTTTAATTAAAAATATTTTTCTTAAAATCGATAAAAAAGAAAGAAAACTTTATATAATTCCAAAACAAAAACTAAGAAGGTAATTTTCTAAAAGAAACCATTCAAATGCTCATGCAGTAGTCATTAAGGGCAGAAAATATTCCTTTTGCAACAATAAGGACGATGAGTGTAATTTTAACTTCTTAAAACGAAATACAAATAATTTCTGTAGATAACATAGCAGAAAAAGGAATAAAGTTTTTCAATTTAAGCTAGAAACCACCGCATTTCCATCCTCAACATTTCACAAATGAATGATAATAGCGAAACTTTAATTATTTATATTTCAGTATTTCTGTTTGGTTTCCTACTGCGAGGTGCATACACGAGTACAATAATAATTATGAAAAGGAGTCTTCCCGAGGGAGAAACTAATTTATCAACAAAAGAGGAAAGAAAAGGCTTTGAAACTTAGTGAATTTTTGTTTAAAAAGGAGAACTGAATTCTAAGGAACTGCATCTCACTTTCTCACCTTAACGGAGTAGTTTTCTGCTTCAAAGTCAAGTAAATAATTAATTCGGTGGAAACTAAATTTGCTGAAATTCACTAGACCGCAGCATTACATGCATTTTATGTAACGCATAAAATTATGGAAACAAATTTATATTCCTTTTTAAAAAATTCATAATTTTATGAATCATTAGATCCTTAGTACCGATGTGGATTTTAATGCTAATGACTTTCAGTTCAACATTGCACAGAAGCAATACAAACTAAAGACTTTTGAAAATTTTAATGAAATGTCAACAAAATTACTCCGCACTCCTAAAAGAGCACCTAGCGTTTCAATGAATACCGGGAAGGAATTGAAACGAATATCATTTTATCATAGTCTGAGCGTTGTAACACTTCCGTTACCGTTTTCGTTTTCCTCCTGCCTCGCAGGAGTCACAAATATCCTTTACAAAATTTTACCATAATTTTAGCGTTTATGTTGACAATTCGTTGTGTAATTTGAATTTTACTGCAAATTACCAAAGACAAATTTGGTAAGTAAAGTGGTTCAACATTCCTGTATGTTAAAAAAAAATTCAAAATTTTATTCATAATAAAATTTTACTTTGGTATGGAATAAGGAGTAAAAGTCTTTTATCGCACTGATAAACTAATTTTTCCCTACCCCATCATTTATAGACCTTTCATTCATTTCATTCATATCCAATTGTGTTACCCATTAAAGTTGCCTTTTACTACTGATAATTTACTTACTGTTTTATTGTTGGAACTTTTATGAACTCTTCAGTTTAATATTGAACCACTCGTGCTTGCCTTCATTATGCTTCATCATTAAAAACATATTTCATTTTCACAGAAGTTAAATATTTTAAGATGAAGCTAATTGATTAAAATTAACACTAAAGTTTTTATTAAATTACTGGCACTTTTAGCCTCGAAACTTTTGCCACACGAATAAGATGTATAAATGCACATCTATATAAAAGTATATTATTATACATAACCAAATATAGACATCTTCTACTTACACAACTTACAAATATATTATCAAGTTTGAGCAAAAAATTAAACTCATTAACACGTCTTTCCATATTCTCGACATTTTTACTGGCACCGCCTTCATAACTCTAAGGAAGCAGACACTTTCTTTTTATTCATTACTCGAACTCATCATTTATGCAGTAACTAATTTTCCACACAATGTTACCAGCGATGAAGACAACATAGCTTTAAAATAAAGTCAAGGACACGAAAAAGGACTTAAATTTTATGTTCTCGGAATAAATTGGTTATGCTTTCATGCAAAAAATATTATGTCTTTATGCTTTTCTCTTAAAATCTTTAAAAATTTTAAAGTAATCTACTATGTGAGGTGTTCTTGAACCATAAAAAGGGGAATATTTTTATGCTTCAGTAGACAAGTTGGTTTTTAATTTTCTCTATTAATGTGGTATAATCTAAAGCGAACTAAGAAAGAATAAAATGGAGAACCGCCTTTAGTTATGTGATTTGGTACAGTACGCAACAGTACTAATAAATGTCATATTGCATTTATAAACTCTCATAGGAAACGTAACTGATTAGTAGTTGGTTGTGGTGGAGAGTGAACGAATCCTCTTCAATTAGCTAAGGAAGCCGTTTTGAATCCACAGATCCTCCTATTAGTGGGTAACATAGAGAAGTTCAAATTAGAACCAGCCAGAGGCAAGAATCTGGCCAATGCTAATGTGTTGAAAAAGGGGGTCACCAGAAACATAAGCCTAGTTCTGGCCAAACCTTGACATAGACACATCAGGTGTTCTACTGTCAACTGGTTATTAGGAATGTGTGAAAATGGAGAAATTGTACTTAAATACTTGTTAAATACGATATTGGAACAGTACTTCCCAACTCTTTAAAAAAGGAACGACTTTTTTGATTTTGATCCTTTTTTTATTAATAGTCCATAAAACAGCAGAGCAATGCGACAAAATCGAAATTGCTTCAATCAATACGTCTTGTGAGCATTACTCCACTGTTGACAACATCAATTTACGAGAAGTCCAATTTTAAATTGCGCCTCTGTGGGAAGTACATCTATCATTGGGAAACATTGTTTTAGGTTTTCAGGTTTTATTTCATATTAATTGGGCAGACAGATACTAATGTAGGATTAGGTTAAAAGTTATTTGTCTCATATCTAATTTCGAATGAATGACATGATTAATTGTTCTTGGTTTACCTCCACCTCAAAAAGTACCCGAATTTTATAAATAAAACACACAAATTTAAATTTAATTCCAAATTTATTTTATGTCCTTCAAAATATGCTCCTTCTGAAGCGATACACATATGCCTATGCTTAACCCAATCTTCCATACACTTTTCGTAGGCCCGTGCAGATATGGCTTTTAGTTCCTTCGCCGTATTCTCTTTTACCGATTCAATCGACTCAAAACGCTTACCACGAAAGGGAAAGTTGAGTTTCAGGAACAGGAAAAAGTCGCACGGCGTCAAATCTGCGGTAGTCTCACATTAACAGCCAACATAACAAAAAAAATTATTTGAAAAAGGTCTATTACTTAAGGAGTAATAACAACAAAATCCGGATACTTTTTGAGCAGAAATTTTTGAGGTATGTCTGCTGTTTGCTACGGTCTATGCTCTAGAACTAGTCACAACTCCCATTGAAGTTAGCGAGGTAAACTAACCAAACTGGGCTATAGGAGATTGAAAAAATGTAAATTATGGATGATTGTGATATACCTAGCGTAGAACTAATTAAAATGTTTTTTATTAAAAGAATAGTGTTTTATTTTTGCAATGCCAAATGAATGGAATGCTTAATATCATTTAATAAAATTTTCAGTTTAAAACTAAAATTAATTAAAAATATAATTAATATAATTTGTAATATATATAATTTATAATATTAATATAATTAATTAATTAAATAAATTATTAATTAAAAGTTATTATAGATAAGACTGTGATGATCTGTAATACTCACCAGGGGTTCTCATATACATCTTGAAGGACTTAATATTATTTCATACATTTAATGAAATCCATGATGCTCTTCAAGGTATGGTCTTAGAAATGACTAAGACTCTTCAGAAAGTAAGCCTGAAAAGGAAATATGTCTGCACAAAAGAAATATGGAGGAATGTAAGACACTTTCCTCATTTGTCTTATATGTATGCAATATGACAATAAAACCAATTATTTTTATAATGCAACATTCACTATTTGTCCAATTTAATACATTAGTATTGATTTAATGCTTTTTTAAAAAAAACATGATCATTATAAAATATGATGTAATATATTAATTTGTGACCCCATTTTTGGTGCTTGATATAGAATACATCGGAACCTTTTTCTATTATTGCATTAAAAACATACACTTTATAAATAAATACCTTTTATTCTATTGTATTTAATGAAAAATAAAATAAAAATTCAATGTCGGTCATGTATGTATTTGACATTGAAAGAAAAATGATTAAAAATCCATTTCGTGATACTTGAAACCAATATTGGAACATTGCAGGTAAATGTGGAGCATTTCACCTTAAAACTCAGTATAATATTTAGTGTTTATAAAATTTGTTCTGGCCTATTTAGCACGAAATTTAGTGTCAAGTTTTAACAAATAATAGAGAAAATTTTAATAAAACCTGAGTGTGGCACATGCAACGTGACACTAAATAAAAATTGCGATTCATTGAAAATTTAATGAACCATCAAACATGGAAAGTGGCATTAGATGATTCCGTTGTCACAGTAGAAAAACGTTTCTGAGGTACTATTGACCGTTTGATGGCATTTTTAAACATTTTCTACATTTATCACTCTACAATCTTTTCCAAAAAGCATCAAATCCCTCACAACAATAATGATTCATAAATTATAATCACTTAACTTAAATAAAGATATCAATAAAATAGAAACAATGCTGTAAATTAATTTACCTTCAACTCTGAAAATTACTGAAGCCTTAATTTAATATTGTTTTTTATTTTTTTTCCATGAAATCTCTGTTATATATAAATGAGATATTTTTAATGGCTCGCATTTTGAAGAAAAAAATTGGCTCGCACATAAACTTTCTGTATTAAATATTTTATTCCAAAATAAATAAAATGTATAACAAAATTTTTATAATAATTTTAGTGAATATTTTTTTAATTGTAAGTGAATAATTAAAGTGACAAATAATATATTTAAATTAATTAAATAAAAATTACTATATTATTTTAATAAAATATAAATATAAAATATAAATATATAAAAATAATAAAATTCCATAATGTTATAAACATAATATATTAATTCAAATATGTTTAAAATTATATGAAAAATTTCAAAAACTCAATATGATCTAAAACAGACATATATAATATATTGCGGATGTAACAGACAACAAGTAAACAGACGATCTGACGAGATTCAGTTCCCCTACGATATATCCTTTTTTATTACAGGCAGTTATAGACGAAAATTGATTTACGATGATTTTTTGCAGTAGTGTAACTTGAATTGAATTGGTCAAATCTGACCCTCGCAATCAGTTCATAAGATAACATTTCTTATATACTTCAAATTAGGAACATTAAACTTAATTCGTATTTTAATTTTTAACTGTACGCTGGAATATTAGAAAACATGAAAGCAAACTAGACTATCGCCATCACACCTCTTGTTGATCATGCTCCCTGGTAACTTAAGAAGAGATACCTAAACATCGGTTATATTTCGACTTAGTTTTATCTAAATTTAAACAATAGCATATAACAGCTTTGTCTTAATTCTTGCCACAAAACTCCGATGAATGTCGAATCTGTAAGGATACTCACCTAAAAACAAATTTATACAGTAAATCCACTTTACTTACATGGCTGAAGAAGAGTTTCAGTTAAATAACTCGGAACAATCAAAATCTAAATGTAATTTTATCTATACTATTTTTGTGATTTTGACCTTTCATGAGATATCACAAAATAGGTTTCTCTTTGATCAAGACAAACTTTAACATCAATAAGGGAAGTGGTTTTCTTACAATATTGAAATCAAATTTTCCCTACCATCGTTCGGCAGTGCTCTGTAACAAACATATATGAAAAATATTAAAAATAATATATGTATGCTATAAAAACAATACGTAATATATTTATATTAGGTTAGTTATATTGTACTGCCAAATAATTATAATTCTACATCTAGACGGAGTTCTTAAGATGAAAGAAAAGATACAAAAACGTATTAATTGTAACTTTCAGAACTTTAGTTTTTATATGGAACTAGAGATTTCGGTTTATTGTCTTTCATGGCTAACCACAAAACGGACTCTTCCATATGAAAACGCAGTCGTACATTCAATGTCACAAAACAAAGATTACTTAACGTTTTTTAACTGAACATGATAGTGTAAAATACCTCCTTGAAAGATGATATTATGGTCTCTGACACATGCAAATTCTAAGATATGCAGACTGTAACATTTGGTCATTTACTTTGCTCGTGCTATGTAATTGTTGAGAAAGAAGACGAGTACCTCCATATGGGTTTAATTAAGCCCATATATTAAACGTATGTAAGAATTACAGATTATGATGTACTATTACCATTTCTAATAAAAATAACTACAAACACATTAATATTTCTGTCATTATTATATTCTTTTTATTATTTAATCTATTTATTTTTTTTTTTTAATTTCTCTTTATATTTTAAGATTCAGATTAGTGCATCTTCTTTTAATTGTTCATTGCCGCCAACCTTTGCTAATTTTGTAAGTACTTTCATAAAACTACATAATATTCTGCATTTAATACTCTTTCTGAATAAAAGAAAACAAATAATGATTATATTTGTTTATAAGAATATTTTCAATAATTTTATAATATATTTTTTAAAGGATGTCAACTCCTGTTGCCGTTTGCCTGAAATCAATCTCGGCAGCGCACCTGATAAATGTGAAAAACAAATAACTGCACAACTAACGAGTGAGGAAAAATATCCTGCATATGCACATGTGGTAAGTTCAGCTGAGATATTGAGGTATCTGCTATATTTAACTGTCACTTCAATTTGTTTCCGAATTTTATATTCACAGTGCTTTCCCGAGTGTATCTACTCTGAGACTGGCTCTTTAGTGAATGGCGACTTTGATATGCAAAATGTCAAAAACTTTTTGCAGAATAATGTACATCGACGTGATAAGGACATTGTGCCACATATCGTTCGCTCCTTTGAGACATGCTTATCGAATAGTAAGTCATGCACACTCAACGGGTGGACATGCATAAATTGAGTAGATTTGTGTTATGTTTGATTAAATTTTATGCTGCTTAAATTTTACAAATCTTTCTCTTTCAATTATCCTTTTTTGCAGTTCAATCTCATATGCATGCTGCGGGCATAAAAATGTATCCAAGATTAAAAGAAGGTTGCACTCCATATGCCAGCATGGTTTATGGTTGCGTTAATGCAGAAACATTCCTTAATTGTCCAGCAAAAATGTGGAGGAATGAAAGAAATTGTAATCTGGCAAAAAGTTTTGCTCTACAATGCAATCCACTCCCACATGTGCCACTACCTTTGATATAAATGTAAATAATATTTTGTTGTTATATATTTTATTTATTATAAAACTTAAAAAACATTTCGAAATGAGAATTTAATTTAATTCATAGATTTAAAAAAATTTCTTGTTAATTCAATAGTAAGACAACTGCCCAAGTATAAAATTTATCGTTTTAAATTTTAGTTAAATAGTTACAGTTCCTGCTATATACATAATATATAAAGTAAAATCCTTTACTTTTTTATATAAAAAATAAAAATTCAAAAAATAATAATTACTTACATATCTACCTACTGACATACCGCACCACTTTTCTTTAAGCGTCTTTACTCCGAGTGGTCATTTTTAATCGGGTATAAATGCGTTTAGCGCTCTTAAAACTTGAGACACTATTATCCGCTATGTTCTCTTCCTTCAATTGATATCTAATCATATGTTTCGCTGTCTTTCGGCATCGTGTTATGTCTATTGTTTTATAAACAAGCCAACTAACCTGTTGAATATTTTGCACCAATATCCTAATGAAGCTGAAACCCAAGTCGACGCCGTTGGGAATCAAAGGTCTTTTATTAAATTTTTATTAAATGTTTTTATTAAATGCACCTAATGCTGCTTCAGTATTCTGTAATATCACCCATGCTTCTGTATCATATATAAGTATAAGAATAATGAGTTAAATGTTTCATGTAGACAGTCGGTCGAGTAAAAGCCTAATTGCCCACCGACCCCATATTAGCATTTATTTATTTTATTTTATTGATGTTATTATTAACAGCTTAGTTTTTAATATATTCTTCCAAAATTTACTTTTTAATATTAAATTATTATATATATATCAACTACAAGACGTAAGGAGCAGTTCATATTAGCATATAACATATGCTATTAGGGAATAGCATATATAATAATACATATAATAAATAATAAATAATTATAATATATTTAAGAAATACCGTGAGATATTATTTTTAACGTGAAACTTAAACCCCAATCTAATGACATTATGTTAGTTTTAAATTAATACTATTTCCCATTCAAAAAATATGGAGTTTTATCGTTTTTTAGATATTTCCCAAAATTGATGTCTTAAGTGGCCTTTAGACATCAACGCGCGTTGAGAAACACACGAAGTCTTCTCTCTCCATTGCACATTAAATTTACCAACAATTTTTTAAACACGCCTCCAGCAAACAATGCAAAATTTGTGCACTCATCAGTATTAAAGCAATCGCTGAAGTGTCGACAGCGGCTGCTATGCGTAATTTCCTTACGAAAAATGATGACATTTAATTTATAATTTTAATTTATATATTTATATTTATTTTTATGATTTCAATTTATATATTTATTTTTATATATATTATATTTTATATAATTTAATTTTTTTTTTTGGTATTTTTTAATAACAAATTTTCCGTAGGTGCACAATGCAATTAATATTTAAAACAAAATTTTTATTGTAATTTAATGTTTGGTTATTTTTTTTTAGCCCAAGGTTATTAATATTTTAATTCTCCTTAATAAAATGTTTTGGAAATTAAAAAATTTTACCTAGGTAGAAAATACAAATATTTAAAATAAAATTCATTCATATTTGCAAAGCATCGCATGCTACGACAAATCATGCGTGCATTTAAACGATGTTTACGCTTCCATTTCTCAAAATAAATAAAATTTTGCATGCCGACCAAATCCGACTGTATATGCAAAAACACGAGCATGTTTGAAGAAATATCAAAATTTTTTGATTTTCGTCAACACATTTCTTAAAATTTCAAATGTTACTATTACACAAACAAATTTCGCATTTCACAAAGTAGGAGAAAAGTAGGAGAAAAAAATTCTCATGTGAGAGCGATTTTTTAGTATATTTGTTGTTTTATCTGGGGCGTGTTTAAAAAATTTTTAAAAAATTGTTTGTGTAATGGCAAGCGCGCGTTGACAACGAACGTTGCTGTCTAATGGGCCCTTTAGACATAGCGTATATTTTCAATTATGCCGATTTATCAATTTGGTTGGTGGTTTGTACTTCCAATCCAAAAAAATATGGAGTTTTTTAAAATAATCTAATCAAATAGTCTAATCAAATCGCTGTAATAAACAACGAATGTATTTGATATCGCTCAAACTGCATATAGTATTAATTATGTCTTTAAGATGAATCAATTTATAAATGCTCTAAAATAAAGTAAAAACTTGATATTATCATTTGAAGGTTGACCTTACCGATACCTAGTATGATTCTTTAAATAAAAAAACAAATTTAATGAAGCCTATTCTGCCTAACCAAAAATCCTATCTTCAAAAAACCAATACTGTAGTATACGTAATACGTTATGGCTTTTTCGTCCACAGTGAACATTACGAGTATAATCATAAACAAGGAAAGATCTTCTTGTAAGTACTAGATAGTAATGCAGCAGGTTAGTTTCTTTATTCTTGTTTGACTCACGTTATCGATAATAGTCATTAAATGGACTGTTCAATTAATTGGTTAGCCTATTTAGAGGGCAAGTCTGAATGAAACCCTATAATTTTAGCATTCAACTGTTACTTGAAATTAATATAAACCTCTATAATTTTTCATAACAACCATTTATATCCTAAATATATAGCAGTTTGGAATATGTTTGAATGAATGAAGTTTAGAGGGAGTATATTGCTTAATGATTTAGGTGAAACTTACTTCTTGTTACTGCCTTCATTTTAAGGCAAAATAAAACATGAATTCATACCGCATGTAGTCTTATTGTCTTCATATACGTTAAGGGCAAAGTAATACTCATTTTGCGCAGATACAAACGAGAAAGATTCTTATATGTCGCTAAAATTATAAATATTATTAAAATTACAAATGTATTATTTAAGCATACTAACCATTTGAAAGCTCTAGTTCAGCTATACTGAAATTATAAAAATGAGTTATAACTTAAATCCACAGTTAATTTAACATGCAATTAACTGATTCATATCAGAAATTGAAATAATCCAAAACAAACATTAATAACTACAAGTAATTAAGATTTATATCTTTGAAGTTTGATTTTTAAAATATTACATTTAAACTGAAATACAGTAAACATATTTATGATCTAATAAACTATATGTAGATTTCAGTTCTTAGCACTTATACATTCAATTTAGTCAGACAAAAATGAAATTAATATTAGCTCCGTTGGTTGTTTTATTTTTTCTGACTTTAGTAAAATCAGATTTTAAAGATTTTGTTATAGAAAGTGAAGTACGCATGTGTATATAAATATATCAGTAGAATATATAATATATAGGCATAAGAAATATTTATGAATCTACATCTTTGCAGGAAGATCTGAAACGTTTCAAAACAAATCCGAGTGCAATTGATATGGAAGATGAGTTTTACTCTGATGACTTCGATATGTATGCAAGTGAATGCATGTCTTCTAATGAACTCACTAATGAAATTGATTTAAATAATGCGCATGCGGAAAGTTTATTGAAAGATGTTGTATTGCCAGATGGAACTATAGATATGGAACTATTACAATATGCATTCCAACAATTAACAAACAATTTAAATTTCAAAATAGATCAACAGCAAGGTAAGACTTTAAAAATATTCTAAAATATTTTTATAACTTCTATATATTTTTTCACTCAATCTGTAAGAGCTTAAAATCGAAGGTACAGAATTAGCAATGGAGCAATGCTAAGATAACGAGACTACCACAAGAAATTTAATATTTACACATAAAAGAGTTTTGAAATTAAAAAATTAAATAAATAAAAATACATATTTTATTAAATAATATTTTGCTAATATATTTTTTTCATTAAGATTCTTTATTGCTAACAAGCTTCAGACCACTTGATGTACCCTTATTAGTTGTGTCATAGCATCGACCGTAGAATTCTTTTTTTTTCAAACAATTTTTGCTATTGTTCCAATGTCTCTTAGGGCATTTCTGAAATATTTTTCTATGTGTGCAGAGTACCATTGTTATTGGTACCCAGGAGCAGGTAAGGCCAGCACGCGGATGAAAGTTTGGTGTATTTAATATATAACCATGGCGTTGACCAATTTTGATTTTATTATGTACATTTATAGCACAATCTTTAATACCAGCAAATGCTAAATCTATAATATCGTTTTGATCTGCATCGTATAATTTTCTTAAGAAACTTTCAAGTTTATCCACGTACAGATGCTCCTCATCCAAAACATTATACTCCTTTAACATACATTCAATGAAACACTTGAAAATACAAACATTTATTTATACATAAAAAGTATATTTCTATTTAACAAATATTACCGGATTAGCATAGTTGTAATGTCCATCTTTTTCCGAATTGGGAAATATATTTGACAAAGTATAATTCTCACAGTTTGGTGCGATACCACTTATGTTCATAAAATTTACATTGCAACAAGTTTTAAGATCCTGTAATATAGGACTTTAATTTAATTTTTTTAACATCATTCAAACTTTACCAACATTAAACACATCTTCTACTCCGTAAGGACATGGTTCCTTATAAGCTTCAATCACTTCAATAAGAACATAAAGGATTATTAATAATTTTATAACGTTCATTTCAATTGGTGTAAGAACGTTCTGAAATGCTTTTTATATCAAAAATTAATTCTCGCTATACGAGTACAGTTTATTAATGTTATCAAATATGTACTTAATATATAACACAAATAATTAGAAATTTAATCGACTATAAAATTCACATAATTTTTAATACATTAAGTTGGTGAACCCCTTTAGTTTTTATAATTTTATATTTTAGTACTCACTATCTATCAAAATAATTTAAAATATCAAATTCAATAAAAGATTTATATTCGAATACTGAGCAATAAATCAATTTGCATACAGACGGACCATATAATCGCATCAGTGCGACAGTATATAACCATTTCAATGTTCATGAATTTTCAAGCTGCCTTCAAATCACTCACAAGTGTAATGACGATGTCAAGATCAGTTGCTTTGTATCGCTCATCACAGAATGAGATAAGTGAAGCAGGCAACGTTCATCTAATTTGATCGAACTAGTATTGAAGGAAATTGTAGTGATTATCAACTGACTTTATAGGGCACTAATCTTTAGTATAACATAATAATATTTAAGATGCATACTCCAGTTCCCCCTTCTAAAAGTCTTGGTGCAGGACAACTCGGTTGGAAAACTTACCACTAAAGTATAGACATTATCATAAGTTTAACAAGGAGTTGTGTCCATCTGCTGACACCTGTACTTACAGGTTATTGTTGATGAGATTAGGTGCAACCAGTAGATGATTTTTTATCAAGATGAGGACATAAAACAATCAATTTCAATTTATTAATATTTTAACATAAACTATTTATTAGAGAGGTATCGAAAAGTAGTGAACTACAACAAAAATTATTTTATACGATTTTAGTTAATTGAATTTTTGACTGACCATACATGTTTCGAGTATTGCCAAATACCCATCATCAGTAACCTATTTAATTATTCGTAAATAATTTTTTAAGATGGAGAGTACTACGCGTTGAACTTATACCCTGCCAAATTTAAAGCTCAGAGACGGTGTTCATTTATCAACTGACTCAAAGCTGTACTTTACGTGTATGTTCGCATTTGAAGTTTTTTTTTGCTGATTTGCTACGCAAGACCACTGAGCTTCACTCAGGAATTCTGAAGTTTTACACTTTAAATACTCTTTCATAGTAAACAACTTTTTGTAATTATAAAAAAAGACATTTTATACACAATAAAATGTTTAAAGTAATATAATAACATATAAAAAATAAAAAAAAAAATTCTATAAAAATAAAATTAAAATAATCTCTAAGACAATGAAATACTTTGAAGTGTATGTATGTTGATCCTTTTTTCAAGTCAGCGCAACTGGGCACTTTTACTCTTCGATAGCTGGGAGTACTACAGGGTCTCACCCATCTCATTGACTAATTTATGTATTCCTTATAAGCTTCATGATTATTCAGTGATTTATCTAAGATCTGCGTACCTTCCCGTGCGGAGAGTGATAACTCTAAGATTAGATAGTGCTAAGTAGGATAGCCTCTCAGTTTTCGCATATAACTTCAGGGCTCTGTCCCTTATGTATTTTTTGATCGGGTCTATTTTAAGGTCTCTTAGCATGTCGTTTGTGCGGATGTACCAAAGCACTTTGAAGAGTCTTCGGAGAGCCTGACTTTGAGCAACTTGTAGCTTTTGTATAGTAGAGTCGGCAGCTTTAACACACCCATAAAGTAATGCTGGTCTAATTATCTGACTATAGATCAGTTTTCTGTTCTTCGCGCTACGGTTGTGTTTGAAAAATGGTTGTAAGCATTGCAGTGTTTCAGCGCAACTGCTTCTTTTGACTTGTATATGCTTATGCCAAGTGAACCGCTTATCAAACGTGATACCTAAGTATTTAATGCTATATTTTCTACTACCAAGTATAGCTTTAAAATAGGAATAAGTATAGTAGAAAACTAGTTCAAAATTATGAAAAAGAAATTAAAATAAATCTTAATATTGCTTTAGGTATGTTGTATCTTTGTAAATGATAAACGCAAACAAAAACTGTTTATAGCTGTTAAATGTTCTCTTCTTACAATTGAACTATCCATAGCAAATTTCACAACTTTTAATGCTGAACTAAGCATGCTAATTGAAAACGTCGTATACAATTTAAACAATCGTAAATAAATATTTACACAGTTTGGGATACAACTGAAGCGGAGAAATTCTAAATCAATTGAATAATTTTGTCAAAATTTTAATGGGGCATTATTTTATTCATAATTTGAATCAATGGTGAAGATATTAAATCGAGTAGGTTATCTTTGCAAGCGTCTTCATAATAATCACATTGTTCATATGTACCATCTACTTCGGCTTGATAATACGACAAAGGTAACTGCTCGCTCATAGATGTTGTAGGTCTGTAAAAAAAATCGTACTTTACTAATATGTGAAGTATATCAAAATTTATATTTACGTAAAAATAATGTGTATTAGACTGCCTAGGACTCCATTAATCTGTCCAAGATGAGAAGCATTCGTTTCACATATCAACCGCAATAAACATGCCTCTCCATTATAGCCATGCCTGTAAGAAAAATTCTTATTAATATTATATTTATTAAAAATATTTATAAGATACATTTCGAATTTATCCTTTAAGATATGATAAAAATGTTTCCGTGTTATTAACGATCTAATTTCTCTTTTGTCTGCATTTTCTGTATTATTTTTATTGGTCTCTGGAATTGTAGACGGTGCTGAAGTTGATGAGTCATTTTCAGATTGAGTGCAATTATTGCAATCCTCTACTTTTATATTACGCGCTTCTAAATCTTCTTCTTCCACATTAGTCTTAAAAAAATTAAGGTTAAAAGAAGGAATGCTTAAAATATAAAAAATCTTTATCATTAAGTATTAATCAAATGCATTCAAAATAATAGTCTTTATAAACCCAATAATTGTGTATCTAACTTACTGCATACGGAGGCAGATCCCATGTGTATGGTAAATTATAATTTGCTTCAAAATTATACGAAACGAAAACATTTCGATGCGGTAATTCCAAAGGAACTGCAATTGCTGCAAAAATCTTTAAAAAAATAATTTTCTCAAATTATTATTGTGGAATATTTTTATAAAAATTTCACTTCCATCGAATGTTGAATTTTAAAATATTTTTTTTAAAAGAAAGAGTTCACATACACCATAAGCACTATTTGTAGGAAACCATAACCAGCAAAAAATTGGTTCGCAATAAATATTGATTAAAAAGAAAACACTTAAAGAACTCCGAAAATATCTCATCTTGCGTATGAGTTGAACTAGATGATCGCGTACTTAATATCAGACTGATTCAATTATTTCAATAATTGTAAAATTCTCACTTAAAACTCACACTTATATGTTGTGGAAAATTGTTGTAAATTGTTTATGTCAATAAAAAACCTCGGGAGACTTCAGAACTTAATATCACAAGAACTTAGCGCAAAATATCCCGTTATTTGACAATAACAGCAAAAAAAAATAATCAAAATAAATTACTCTAAAATATTTATATATGTAATATGTCGATATAAGCAGGGTCACAGGAAGGAACTAAGAGACAGATTCCCCCTTTCTGGCTATCCCCATGTACAAAATAATGAGCAAAATATGTAAGTAAACAACTCAGAAGTTATATGAAAAATGATATCAATAAAAAGAAGTTATATTGACTTTGCTTTCAATTCATTTCCTCATACAGATAGTTTTAATTGGCCTGTGTTTGCAAAAAGTCCTTGTTCAAAAGTTACGTGTCTAGAAATGTTTGTATTCCCTTTTTGCTGCTGTTAGCTAGCACTTCAATCTTTGCTTTTTCTAATGTCAAGACATAGTTAGACGCTTACTTATTTGAAATACAGGGATTTGGTCGGATAATTCATAGTTCATATAGCATTTTCAATGTGTGACCTCATTCTTTCATAAATATTAGTGCTATTAACTGGTACTTTAACAGCTTCATCTATTTTTCCTCGTTTTTAGTGCTATTGGCGCCTTACCTGTTGCTTTTTTCCATACATACATTTATGTAAGTTGAATACTGCCTTTATACGTATACGATGTGAAAGTTAGATAAACCCAATATTTCATTGAAATATAAAATTACGAGAATTATGATCAGTTTGTAATAAGATTATATTTATGTGTAACTTATTTCTTTAATAAATAATCTCAACGAATTTTGTTTAATTTGTTATTTATTGAATGTCATTGAATCTATAATACTGTGTAAGGGTTCAGAAATCAGATCAAGTAAATTCTCTTTACATTTTCTCTCATAGTCTTGACATTGTTCATGCACTCCATCTACTTCTGCTTGATAATATGATTTCGGCAAGTTTTCACTCATCGATGTTGTTGGCCTGTTAAAGATTTTATTAATTAAATAGATTTTAATATGTATCTATTATATTGCAAATTACGTAAATATTATATGCATCACACTACCCAAAACTCCATTTATGTGTCCTAGTTGAGAAGAGTTTGTTTCACATATCAAACGCAACAAACAAGCTTCACCATTATATCCACTTCTGAAACGAATTCGAGATTTGAAATAAAAAAGTTTAAGAACTCCCCCTATAGAGATGTTTTCTTCCCAAAAGCTGTTAACAGGTGCATTTATTGAAGGTTTAGGACTTTAGCAAATAATAAATTTAACATTATAATCGAGAAAATAAATTTTTAAAGATTTTCTTAATTAGTGTAGCAATTTAAAGAAAATTAATCCATTACAATGTATATGAGGGATTGTCCACCTATCTAATGTAGGTTAAGTGACAATTTCAAACGTTTAGCAAAACAATTTAACAAAACTTATAATTGACTTAAACGAAGCCTATGTAATTTAGTAAAGCCATATATAATCCTAGATGAGGGATGTAACAATAAACATAAAGTAAATTACATAGAGTAGTAACCTAATAAAAACTACGAACGTGTTTTTTAAAATGAAAAAAGTAAGATTATTTTGAAATCAGTACTTTTAATTAATATAAACTATGATATAATATAATATTTAATTTTACCTATGAATTTTATCCTTCAAAATATGATAAAAATCCATTCGCGTTATAAGAGACTTCCTCTTTCTTATTGATTCCCCATGTTTAGTTTCATTGAAGGTAGTCTCTTCTATAGAATTTAATAATTTTGTTGTTTGCACTTCTAGATCTTCTTCTGTTTCCGATTTTGCTATGGTACAATTAATACATTTATCATTATTGAAGCTGCGTGCATCAGATAAATTTTCTTTTACTGCTTCGAGCTAATATAGGTGAGAATAAAATAAATAAATAATTATGTAACAAGTTTCAAAAGAATGAAGAATAAATGTATGGATTTGTAATATATGTTACACAGAGTTTTAAAGCTAACCCGAGTTTTAATAAAGATTCGCCAATAGAAACTTTGTTTTTGAAAAATATAAGAAACCTACTTTAACTGGTTAGAGAGTATCCAATTTTATTCTTATGTATGATTTTATTTTCATTTTTTTGTAAATAGAAGATCGACTAACTCAGGAAGTTTCTTTGAAATAAAAACTTTCTCAAAGAACTTTCTCAAAGAAAAATAATAAAAATAAAATATTTTCAAAATATAAATTGCTTGTATAAATAAAATATAATATATATATAAATTCTGTTTTCTCTAAACCATCAGAGATATTGAAATGAAAATTTGCTAAAACTTCATATTTGAGATGACTTTTCTTTTGAATTTAATTTTAGCCCAAATTAGTTCGGCTTACCAGAAACCTTCCAAATTGATGGCCAAAAATAGTCCATTTTCACAAAAAATCGTTAATTATCTTTCAAAAAACTTTTTGTTCTTGTCAGACTATATGTATTTATTACTTATAAAACAATGCTTTAAACTTTATGGAAAAAATAGCCGTGATCCGCGCATTTCTTTTTAACTTATATGCAGTTTTATGCAATTTTAGCAAAATTGCGATTTCACAAAAATTGGACGAGCTTTGAACCTTTATAACTTTTTTACTATTTATTCAAATATGGACTTTTCATTTTTTTTTTAAGCTTAATATATTGTTATTCATTATATGTAAAAAAAATTCAATTCTAATTGTCAGTAAAATTTTATAAGTGAAAATGCACAAGTCAGCCTTATAATTCTCATTTAGTATAATTAAAGAAAGCAATAAATAAATGTAACGGCAACAGTTGGATTATATTTGATACTGAGTTTAATATAAAATTTAGTTTCAGTGCTACAGATAATCACCTTATTCGCAAAGGAAATGTTAGCAGCAATTATTTTAAAAAACGTTATATTATGTTAGACACCCGAGCGGACTGGTAATAATAACTGTCGCAATAAACTTAATAATGAATTTATATATGATGCAATTTTTTATTTACGCATATTGCTTAGGAACTTGGCAATAAAAATAAGTGGATTTTTTCAATTTTTTTTTAAATTTTTTTTAATTTTTTTTTAATATTTTTTTAATTTTGTTTTTGTATGAAAACACCCTGTTAATATTATATAATAACCGTGCATTATAATTACATGATTTATTGAATTTAGAAGAACAGAAGTGAAATATTTCCACTTAGGATTTATACGCCAAATGTTTTTTTTTTGGTACTTCTTTCATCTTAATCATTTATAAAAAACTTGATTAAAATGCGGTTGAAATATCACTTCTTTAAAATTTCAAATTAATTTTTATCTCAACTACATTAAATATTCCTAATTTATTTCGCCAGAAAGTGATCACTCAAAGCAAACATTGTTCAGGTTCTCAAACTTTTTGAAAACAATTAAAATATAAAAAATTGCATGTTATCACATCCTACAAAATTTTTAAGATTGCGTCTCAAACCGAGATATCGTAACAACCTCATATTTTCCTTCATACTTACATAGTCTAATTTTCAACTAATTAGGTATAGTACTTTCTGTTAATATAACTGACTGTAAACATATGATTTCTTTCGAGAAAGAGTCATTTCAAAGCGGTGTTCAATAATTTAAGATAGACCTGGAGATCTCTTTCTCCATACTAATCTGTCTATATTTTATGTTTCTTTAATTAAATCATAATAATACAATACTTATTAAGTATTGATTACGAGCATTAAAAATTAAAATCTTTATACGATTCTTTGTCAACTCAATAGTTGTAAATCTAACTTACTGCATATGGAGGCAGATCCCAGGTGTATGGTAAATTGTAATTTGCTTCAAAGTTATATGTGATAAAAACATCTTGAAGTGGTGGTTCCAAAGAAAGTTTAAGTTGTGCAAGAATCTTTAAGAAAAGTAAATCATTTTCCACAAATTATCATCGTAAAATCCATTTTATTAAATCTTTACTTATATCAAATATTAAATTGTAAAATATTAATTACATACACCATAAGCACTGTTTGTAGGAAAAAAAAACCGACAAAAAATTGGTTTGCAATAAATATTAACTAGAAACAAAACACTTAACGAACTCCGAAAATAACTCATCTTGCCCTTTAGTCGAACTGGATGAACGCGTACTTATTTCAGACTGATTCAGTCTTCTCTATAATTGTAAAATTCTTACTTAAAACTCACTTATATGTTGTGAAAAATTGTTGTAAATTGTTTATGTCAATAAGAAATTGCAAAAGTCTTCAGCATTTAAAGTCTTCTGGGTCAAGAATTGTTGGATTCATGATGACAACTACTTAGCGCAAAACATCCCAACGGCAAAAAAGATATTCTAAAAATGTTATTTTAATATATTGATATAGTATGCTTTCCTGGGCATAGCTACAGAAAGGAACAATGATTCAAATGCCCCATTTGTACATGGCTATGTCCATGTACAACACATCTGTGCTGAATAAATGAGTAAAAGAAAAGTTTTATTGAATTGACCGTCGCTTCAATATCCTTCATACAGAAAATTCTGTTACTATAATTAATTTACTATTAACATGTTAATTATTTTTATAATGGTGTTTTTTAATATTTAACCTAATGCAATCAAATTCAGCAAAATTATTTAATAATTATACGCAACAACCAAAACGATTTATACTGAAAATTGATCTATCCGTGTTTCTAAAAAGGCATTCTTTAAAAGTAAAGTGTATAAAAATGTTTTTGTCTCTTTTTTGCTGCTGTTAGCTAGCACTTGGTTCTTTGCTTATACTAATGTCAAATTATATTTGAGAGCTTAATTAAATGAAATACAGGGATTAACTCGGATAATTCATAGGTATTGCGACTTAATTGTTTTCATAAATATTAGTGGTACTTCAGCTGTTTCGTTTTCTTCGCCTCGTTTTTAGTGCTATTGGCGCCTTACCTGTTGCTTTTTTCCATACATATATTTATGTAAGTTGAATACTGCCTTTATACGTATACAAGTGAAAATTAGATAAACTCAATATTTCATTGAAATACAAAATTTTCGAGAATTATGATCACTTAGTAATAAGATTATATTTATGTGTAACTTATTTCTTTAATAAATAATCTCAACGATTTTTATTTAATTTGTTATTTATTGAATGTCATTGAATCTATAATACTGTGTAAGGGTTCAGAAATCAGATCAAGTAAATTCTCTTTGCATTTTCTCTCATAGTCTTGACATTGTTCATGCACTCCATCTACTTCTGCTTGATAATATGATTTCGGCAAGTTTTCTTTCATCGATGTGGTTGGCCTGTTAAAGATTTTATTAATTAAATCGATTTTAATATGTATTTATTATATTGCAAATTACGTAAATATTATATGCATCACACTCCCCAAAACTCCATTTATGTGTCCTAGTTGAGAAGAGTTCGTTTCACACATCAAACGTAACAAACAGGCTTCACCATTATATCCACTTCTGAAAAGAAATTGAGATCAGAAAAACAAAAGTTGTAGTATTTGATTTGAGAAATGTAGATTTCTGATATATATTGTTTACGTTAACTTTTTTGTTTTTTTTTTAAATGCATACATACAACTCATACTTTTATTACCAATTTATATACCAAAATATGTATTGCTTGCCAGAAATTACAATTATTTCCTAATTTTAAGCTAACAATTAGTTTTCAAATATATAGAATCGTTGATCTGTTGAAGCAACCCAGTCAAAAACATAACAATAGACGGATCGAATTGCTTAACTATTACTCGTTTACTGTATTGCTCACCGTTCGAAAAAGTAGTAAACTAATTGAGCAATATCTGCCAAATATGGATGATATAGTGTAATTTCTGAATTTTCTACTTCCAAAAAGTTTTAGCAATTGCATTAATATTTGGCCTAGCATTTTAACAAATTATAAAATTAAAATATATAACCAAATTAATTCGTAAAAGTAAATGTAGAAAGGATTCGAAATTAAATTAGCCTTTTCAATTAACTTATAATTGTAATGACATCTAAATATATAATAATTGCAGGGTAATATGAATCTTATAGACGCAATATAGACAAAAAATATCTTTTTGTCAATTTAGATTTTAAGTAAATTTTATAAATTTTTGTAAGTGTTATACGAATTTCGTTGAATCAATAATAAATAATATCTAACTCTATATCAGTATATGGAAATAAAATGACTTGTCATTAAAAAATTTGTCTCTGATATATTAAATTAAAAAATTTTCCTCTTCTCTTAGCTTTTTATTCTTGTTCTGTACTACAACTACTTTTACACTTAAGTTCCATATCATTTATTAATATTTATTTTTCAAAAATATTATATATGAAATAATATGTATTTTTCAGTAACCTATTAATCTTAAAAATTTGACCTAATAAAATTCAAAGTGATAATCAGCTCTAATTAAATATTTGTGTATATTTCAAACGATGAGAGAGAAAGTAAAAAACATTTTTAATATTGGCTTTAATGTAATACAAATACAATAGTTTGCTGCTTATTAATTAATTAATAAAAAATATGAATCAAATATTATTTATTTTTAATAAAACCGAAAATTGACCGATCGATTTTGATGAAATGTTTATTTACGAGAAAAAATCTTCATTATATTTTGAACCAATAAGTGGTACTTTCGATAACAATCTCTTTTGTAATAAGAAAGACTTATTATTAATTATATTAACTTATTTAATAATTATTAAAAAATTAATATATCGACACAAGCAATCATCAAAATAACGTCGAGACAGCGCTGTGAAAGTGTTAAAATTAAATGAGATGTACAAAATCCTTTAGAAACAATAGAACAATATGAAGTATAATATCAATTAAAAATAAGATATTATTTTGAAATCAGCATAATTAATTAACATAAACTATATTTATTAATTATTATTTATTCTCATCATAAAATATAATTCAATTTTACCTTTGAAATTTATCCTTCAAAATATGATAAAAATCCGTACGTGTTAAAAGAGACTTCCTCTTTCTTGTCTTTTTTTCATATTTAGTTTCATTAAGGGTAGTCTCTTCTATAGAATTTAATAAAGTCGTTGTTTCTACTTCTGAATCTTCTGGATCAGATTCTGATATAGTACAATTAGTACATTTATCATCATTGAGGCTACGTACATCGAATAAATCTTCTTCTGCTGCTTCGAGCTAATAAAGTTAAGAATAAAATAAATATATAATTAAAAAACAATTTAAAAAAAACATAATTACTAAAAATTAAAAATGGATGTTTTATATACACAGAGTTTTAAAAGTAAACCGAGCTTGTTTGATTTAATGAAGATTTTCTTCGTTATCCAAACATTTAAAAAAACTTCTTCAACTTGTTGGAGAATAGTTGTATTTTTCTTTTTGCAGGAATTTAATAATTTTTCAAGTAAAATAAAAATTCTCAAAATGAAAATAAACAAACAATTTTCAAATTATATATTATTTTTTGTAATATTTTGAAAGATACCCCTGACAACTGCAATAAAAATCATCTTTTATTAACTACGAAAGTGTTTAGATTATGTATTAACATATATATGCCTCAATTATAATCCACTTTAACAATTCATATTTGAGAATTTGATTTCAGTCTATTTAA